ACGTCGTATACCTTATGGTCATTGTCCGACCCCAGGAGGAAAGAAACCCGAGGACAATCCCAACATCACCTCTACCACTGTTGCTAATATCCATGACGCACAATAGCAGAAGAAACCAAGTCCACACGGATTTGGTAACCAAACTCAATACAAGGCGCAAGGAGAATGTGTTTCCAATCACCAACTCACCAGATTCAAGAAGCTTGAGGCAACATTGATAGGTTTTCAAACGAGCTATAATAACATCGAAAGACAACTTGCACGCCTAATTGATGCTCAACATCAAAAGTCTCAAGGAAACCTCCCGAGAAGCATAGAAAATAATCAAAATAAGGAGGAAGTCAAAGTCATCTCGTCAAGGATGGGAGCAGCCAAAAGTTTCTTAAGCATTGACAAGAAGAGAAGAAAGGAGTTGAGTATCCATCCCTCTGCAGAAATCTGATAGAAGATTTTGGAGAAGTAGAAGTGGCAATGCCATTATTGGAGAAGCTCAAAATTCTCATGGAAGAAGATGATACGATTGAAGAGAAGGAGACCGCTATCAATAAAATCCCTCAGGGTTATGTAGAATTCATCATAGTGATCAATGAAACAAAGGAGTATCCAAGGCATTGCATAATAAGGTGTCTTATGGATGACCATCACAAGAAAAAAAAGTTTAGTTGACTTGAGCTCAAGCATCAACATACTACCACTACAGCTATATGAAGATATGAGACTAGCTGACATGGAGAACGTAGAGATCATGCTAGCCAACGACACCCATTGCTGAGCTCTTGGAGATGTTAGAACCCAAGTCAGCCCATGATTGACATGAAGACAAACAAAGAGTATTCAATCCTCTTTGGGATGTAATTTCTCGCCATTGCTGGAGCATGTATAAATGATGTGAACAGAATAGTAACACTACATGTAGGAAGATCATGCATCGAGTGGAGAAACTCATCAAAGAAGGGATGAATTTGAGGAGTATTTAGAAGAGAACGCGAAGAATGAGATCAAATTTTGATTTTGATCTCTAAATATAATAATTCATCGCCATGATCAAGATCCAAGGTATGGAGACGAGTTGAAGGAAGTTCTGTCTGTTGCTGATCTCAAGTTAGCTCAAATGGAACTCAAGATGGCCAATAGAAGTCCAAAGATGATGCTAAAAAGGATCGAAGAGTTGGAATATGAAAAATCAGAAGAGTATCAAGATTGCATCCATCGTTATCTACCACATGGGATATTCAATGAACCAATAATTGCAACGAGATGGAGTTATGATGATGACTTGAAGCTTGATCAAGATATCAATTAAAAGGAGGTTAGCTAAACCTAGATCAAAGACATAAAAGCATGGTTCAAAAAGACACGTTTAACCTTACGTTTAGGCACGCCTAGGCGCAAGGCAATGGCAAAACGCCTTGCCTAGAGCTTTCGCGCCTATTTAGATACAGAAACACGTCAATGGAGTAAGACGACATATAAGTCTCTCTTAAACATTATTAGATGGAGCTAGGAAGTCAATATTAAAGGAAAAATTAACATCAACTATGAAATCAATTTTCTACATCAATATTTTCAATAGCTCAAGAACTTTGTGAGCTATTGAGCTATGATTCTATGAATTCGTGGGCTATGTTTTTGTCATTAAGTGTTGAGTAAGTCATTAATCATTTTAATTGAAGTGAAGGAAGTGTTGTAGATTATTATTTCATTCATCATGCAGTGTGAATAGCTATTTTTCTTCAAACGCCTAGGCACGCTTAATCTACGCCTAGGCGAGCTATGCGCTAGGCAAAGCCTCAACGCCCACCTTATGCCTAGCGCCTTTTTGAACCTTGCATAAAAGAGAGAGCACTCCATGGGAGACAACCATTTTTGGCATCAAAATTAATGACGTTAAACAAAGTTCTATCGCTAAAACAACCCGGATTTCTCTTTCATAGTTAATTTTGAAATTTAAAGTTTATTTTTTAGCCTGTGATTTTGAGTTACTCTTTGGAGGAATTCATTATATCCATTTGTATCCCTAAAAAAACATAACAATCGACCCGGTCAGAGCGGGTTAAACCTGGTGGTATTGACAAATTTTAGGTCGGTACTGAGTTTTACCCGCTTTTTTTATTGGCGGGTAAGGTTAGCTGTGAATTTTTTTAAAACTCGGCTCGCTTTCCATCCGAACTTCATCGAAAAACAAAACAATCATTTTATGGATGAGTGTCTAACCTTCGACACAGTTAGGGTGGGTTGAATATAGTGTTGACGATTTTTGCGTCGGGTGTAAGTTTTACCCCGCTACTGTAAATGGATGGTTGGGTTGAGTTTGTATTTTTTTCACAACTCGATCCGCTTTCCATCTGACCCGCACCCAAAAAGCAAAACAACGGATAGAACCGAGTGTTAGCGAGTTTTGATCGAAAGTGAGTTTTACTTGATTTTGTAATTGGCGGATTAGGTCGAGTGTGGGTTTTGTTAAAACTTTGTAAGCTTTTCATTCGACTAGAAAAAAAAAAACAATGTCAAATTCCGAATATAACTTATTCTCTGAACCTTTTGAGATCACATTTCTATAATTCTATTCATAAATTGTATCATAGACGATGTTTAAAACTACCGTGTGATAAATCGATAATGTCACTAATGAGTCTATATTTTTAAATAGCCGGCCCGCCGAGTAGATGATCCCAGATAGCTAAAGGTCGGCGGAGAGTTTATGGCTTTGCAGACTGCTCCTCATTCCTGCGCTCTCTCTTTCTATCTATCCATTAATTCGATTTTATTCTGCGAGCTGTATGCCTGCCTCGCCAAAATGCCAATGGCCGATTCGGCGTCACCGAAAGATGATACAAAGATGCACTTAATTGCCTAACATCCTATGGCCCTATCGCAACCTAGTTTCAGTTTGAATGGCTCGTCGCACATATCACTATCAATCCATATCACAACAAAGTGCTGGAAGAATAATCATTCAGATGACTAAAAATCATCAAAAGCCTTGCCTACAACTACGACATTATATAAACCCATTACCCACCACAGCCATTTCTACACCCACACACACACAAAACGCATTTCAACACTTTTGCTATACCTTGCTTTCGATTCCATTAGTCCTTCTCAAGCCGCGACGATCGATACACAATGACGATGAAGAACTTGTTGCTGTCCACGTTGGTGGTGGTCCAGTCGTGATTTGCGATCAGGCGATGATCGCGGCGGCGGAACCAAGCTAAGGTGTGGTGCTTTTAAGAAAGCGGTGCAAGTGCAACCCTGCATGGCCTATGTGAAGGGAGTTGTGATGTCGTCTCTGAAGCGTGTTGCAAGTTCAGAGTGTTGTCGACGCCTGCGGAATCAAAACTAGTCATTCCAGAATCCAGCGGCTGACACTGACTGACTGCAACAAATAATCAATCAAACCGCAGCAAGTCTCTATACAGACCAAAGCCTGATCAAGGGTAAAAGGGAACTTGAGTATTATAACCGGAATGAAATTGCATTTCGTTTTGTTCGCTCGGATCAAATTTTATCTCCAAGTTACATCCTATTATGTTCGTTTGGATGAAACCATCGACCCATTCAATAGAGATTCCTATGACAGGGTGTCATGTTCAAAAAACACCATAATTTATTTCACCAACACTTCCTAAACATTTAACCGCGATAATTAAACCGAAAGCAAGGAATCATGCAAGCACATTGCATGCAAACCCCTAGCCACTTTATGGTCTACTTACCTCAAGTTTTTTTTTTTTTTTTTTTAAGATCATGGGGTCTAGACAAGTTCTAGAACTAGTCTGGATCCACCTTAATACTATCTACTCACTCTTATGATTTTGTAGGTGAAAAGAAGACATTATTTGGAAGTTAGATGACGAAGATAAGGACCAAACAAGTTAGTACGTGAACACATAATTTCCAACACCTGATACCCAACCTAGAATTAGGATTATTCACCTATCCGAACTCCAAAATTCACCTTTTTCCCATCGCAGCCAATGGCGTGGAATGATCTTTTACGCCCTGGACTCATATCTGAAACTTTTCATAGTGCATCGTCCTTCTTCTCCTTCTCTTAACCTGTCACAAACTCCCCCCTCACTCCCAAAAAAACTAACGACCACCCTCTTTTTCTCTTCCTTTCTTTCTTCCTTTTCCCACCAGCAAAACACTATCAAAACCCTTGGCATGAAGACTTTATATCAAGAAATGAGGTTGAAATCTTTTCATAGTCATAACTTGTTTGAGCCTAGAATGTACTAGGCGGTTATGAGGCTCTGATATGGACTCCATCGTCTGATCTCCTCGGGAGTGGAAGAACATGTGAGGCGGGGGGCGGCCCCCGAGATCTACGCTCTGACGCCCAAGTTAGTACGATATAGGAAGCGGTTTATGGTATGTAGAGAGAGAGAGTTTAGAGAGAGACCTTAGGGTAAGAGTATGGGAAGGGAAGAGAGGATCTTTGGCTTGGAGGCTTTGGCCTCCTTATATAAAGCTTGGGCCTCCTTGAGTGGACTTGGGCCTGGGACGCCCTGCGGTGGGCTTGGGCCCGTTTATAGTCGTGTAGGCATATTAATCCATATCCCAACAATTGCCCCTTTACTTCTTATATTCTGTAAGAATGGAAGGAGTAACATAATGCGTTAATCGTGTATTAATTTTCCTTACTTACGAATCCGGATGATGCGGTTTGCCCCTTGTACGATTTGCGTGATCATTTCCTTTGCCCCTTGCTTGGCTTTTGATGTCTTGAACCAAAGCTCTCAAGTCGTTAAGAGCTTCTTCGCTAGTCCATTGTTGTTAGCGCTAGTATACCATAATTGCGACCTAGGTAGGGTGGCCCCCACGGCTTGAGAGTTTTAACTCAAGACGCTCTTGTTTCGTGTCTCACCAATGTCGCGTCCATGTTGTCAGGAAGTCATTTGTCTTGTTAATGTGTTACTTGTGTGAGGCAAGATAAAATATTATCTTCTATGAAGCTTAGTACTTCGCCTTTTGAGAAGCGCATAAGTCTTTCAGCTTTCTGGAAAGCTTAGTGCTTCTTCGGCTTCTTGGGGTGCGCTTCTCCTTCGCTTCATGGGAAGTGCATCACTCCCTCGGGAAGCGCATTGCTCCTTCGCTCCCTGAGAAGCCCATCGCTCCTCGCTCCTTGGCTTCCTGAGAAGCGCATCGCTTCGTCGCTTCCTGGGAAGCGCGTCGCTCCTCGGCTTCCTGGGAAGCGCGTCGCTCCTTCGCTTCCTGAGAAGCGCATCGCTCCTCGGATCCCTCAGAAGCGCATCACTCCCTTGGCTTCTTTGGAAGTGCATCGCTCCTTCGCTTCCTGGGAAGCGCATTGCTCCCTCGGCTTCCTGAGAAGCGCATCGCTCCTCGGCTTCTTGGGAAGCGTATCGCTCCTCGGCTTCCTGAGAAGCGCATCGCTCCCTCAGCTTCTTGGGAAGTGCATCGCTCCTTTGCTTCTTGGGAAGCGCGTTGCTCCCTCGGCTTCCTACGAAGCGCATCTCTCCTTGGATTCCTGAGAAGTGCATCGCTCCTCGGCTTCCTCAGAAGCGCTGGGAAGTTTATTGCTCCCTCGGCTTCCTGAGAAGCGCATCGCTCCCTCAGATTCTTGGGAAGTGCATCGCTCCTTCGCTTCCTGGGAAGCGCGTTGCTCCCTTGGATTCCTGAGAAGCGCATCGCTCCTTGGCTTCCTGGGAAGCTTATTGCTCCCTCGGCTTCCTGAGAAGCGCATCGATCCTCTGCTTCTTGAGAAGCAAATCACTCCCTCGGCTTCTTGGGAAGTGCATCGCTCCCTCGGCTTCCTGTGAGAGGCGCTCCGCCTTCTTGCCTTATTAGAGGCACTCCGTTTCTAGCCCGCTGAGTGATGCTCCTTCTTGTACTTAATTGGCAAGCGCTTCTTCTTCTAACCTGCTGAGAGGCGTGCATCTTCAAGCCTAACCCGGAGGTAAGAGAAGTATTTGGGCAACGTCCAGATGTGATAGGTGTTCCTCTTCTAGCCTAGCCTGTAGGTGGGAGGCGTGAGTCGTTTCCCGAGAGGGAGCATGGCTCGGAGGTGGAAGCATTCCTCGCAGGGAGCATCGCTCAGAATTGGTGCTCGAGCCTTGCCCGGAGGCAAAAGGCGTATATAATTCCCCGGAGGGAGGACTACTCGAAGGTGCGCATTTCCGAAGGGAGTATTGCTCGGAGGCGGGAGGCATTCCCGAGAGGGAGCATCGCTCGGAGGCGGTTTTTGAGCCTTGCCTGAAGGTGGAAGGCGTGAATCATTCCCTCGAGGGAGGACCACTCAAAGGCGTGAAGCATTCCCTGGAGGGAGCATCGCTCAGAGGCGGTCTTCAAGCCTTGCCCTGAGGCGGATGGTGTGTGTCTTCGACCCTCCGCTAGAGGCGGGGATTTGATAAATATAGCATGAGGTGCTAGTACCCAATATTCTCATAGTATAAATAAGCATAGAATTTTATTATGAATATCCTAGAATGGTGGTGATGCCTCTTCATGGCGTTGAATTGAAGATATATTCTTGAAGAAATTACTTATCTTGAGAAAAGATAGTAGAGGAGGCAGCAGGTCGATGGATAAATGTCGGGCATTGCAAGATGTTAACCAATGTGTCCTTGTAGCATATTGAGCAGTTCCATTCCTTTCAGACGGTAGAATGGAGGTTCGAATTCTGGCTCAAGCGGTTCCCATTTCTTTTTAATTAAGCCCGAATTGAGCTGACTGAAGGTGGGTCAAGCGGATGATGGTGGGTCGTGCTTGCCTTTGTGAAGCGGCCCACTTGGTCCTGAGCTAGAAGGAGGTCATATCGGACGCTAGGCGGTTGGCGGGCTTTGGAAAATGGGTCTCGGCGGTCTGGCAGTGGCAGGCGGTTGGCGGGCTTTGGAAAACGAGCCTAACTGGTCTTCCAGTGACAGGTGACCCGAGAGGGAGTGGTATCTGGGTGTTGTCAAGGTGCATGGGAGGCGGTCCATGTGACCAAAGGCGGACCAATGAAATACATTTGATTTGTTTGGCGGGCCCATTGAGTTGGGACGCAGTTGCTTCTTGGCGGGCCTTGCCTGGAAGATATGTGTGGCGGACCTGATAAGATGTGTCACACGAAGTGAGGGCCGGATTGACAAACAGAGCGGCCCTGTTGGAAGTGGCTCTTGTTATGAAGCGGTTGGGCGAAAGGCGGGCCAAATTTGAAGATTGTCGCGTTGTGGTTGGGCCGCATTGTGATTGACAGTGGGCTTAGCGAATAGATGCAGTCATGCAGTTGACTTCTCAAGCAGGCCTGGGTCCATGGACGGTTGACATGTTTGACGAGCTTCTTGGACGGTTCTTCCCTTTCCAGACCAGGCGTTTCCAGGCTGGCTTTTTTCATAACTCTGCCTCGATAACAGCGCCTGCCTCTTCCTTTGATAGAGAGAGAAAAAGTGACTGACCTTTTTCCTCTTTCCATTGGTATCGAAAAAGTAGGGCCTTGACGTGACCCCACTGTAGCATACAGTCTCCTTTTTGTAAAGGAAGTCAGAGGAGAACGATTGGTGATGTTGACTGCGGTACTTCTTCCATTGCCCTTCGCCTGAGCTTCATTGGTCGGAATCTCCGAACAATGTTTGTTTTTTTTTCTTTTCCTTCTGAATGCCGTTGAGCATTTCATCGGGTCTTCTTCGTCCGTCCTGGGCTGCTGTTGGGTCTTCTTCCCTGCTCGCTCTCTACTCCTTTTTATCCAATTTTATTGGCACTGCTTTGTTTGATATATAACCCCTGCCATGAAATTTATTTCTTCTTCGACTGGAAAGTTCGCCTTCTAGCAGCGACGATGGGGACACGAAATGGGTGAGAGGCGGTCGATGGCGAGCATTGCCGAGCTCTTGGACTGCGCAACCAAAAACAGGGGAAGGGCAATCATCTTCTCTTTTTCTTGGTTTCCTGGACTGAAGCTTCTGTAATTTTTGGAATTTGAGATCTTCTATGCTTTCTTTGTCATTTGCCTTTTTTTGCTCGACGGGTCTTGAAGGGATTGACACATCTGCTCTCACTTGTCGTTGGTAGCCAGTTGCTTCCCCCGTTAGAAACCAAACGATAGATCCAAATCATTGCCCCACGGTGGGCGCCAATTGTTTGAGCCTAGAATGTATTAGGCGGTTATGAGGCTCTGATCTGGACTCCATCGTCTTATCTCCTCGGGAGTGGAAGAACCTGTGAGGCGGGGGGCGGCCCCCGGGATCTACGCTCCGACGCCCAAGTTAGTACTATATAAGAAGCGGTTTATGGTGTGTAGAGAAAGAGAGAGAGTTTAGAGAGAGACCTTAGGGTAAGAGTATGGGAAGGGAAGAGAGGATCTTTGGCTTGGCGGCTTTGGCCTGCTTATATAGAGCTTGCGCCTCCTTGAGTGGGCTTGGGCCCGTTTATAGTCGTGTATGCATATTAATCCATATCCCAACACAACTCATAAATATTTTCAACATAAGTTTGCAATATAAGTTGGGTTTGGGTAGGTTGAGTTGGATCCGTTAGTTAGTTTGGATGGTGATGTGAAATGCTTTATTAGTATTTTGGATGGTAAGTATTGCCACCACGAACAAAAGGTCTCCTGATATGATGACTCAGGAAAGAAAATGGAAGACAATCATCTCTAAAAAGATAGATCAAATAAAAATAAATCATAAACATATTAGGAAACAAATAAAAAAAGACAATAATAAAGAGAGCAAGCAAATGAAACAAAGAGAGTGGGAGTGAGAGTTGTCGTTGGTCGCAAGAGGGACGCCGACATCAGCCCCTAATAACACAGAGATACGAGAAAATAAGAGAAATAACAGTGGTTTTAGAGAAAAAGAGTTTAGAGTGGAGAGTTGGTTGATGAATAATGATCCCTTGAGCTGATGAAGATGGATTTATGGAAATCCACCCAAGATGACTATCAAGGTATTGTGGCCGAAGGTCAGCAAAGGTTTGCAGAAGAAGAAGAATCCTGAAGACTTGCGGATTATGTCAGGAAGACGAAGAAGAGCAGGAAACGGCATCGTAGCTTTATCCTCATGTTTAGTCTTATTACGAAAATGTTGTCGTTATGTTTATAGTTATTAGCCGTTGGCAAAGCACTGTTATTTTGCTAATAGGCCAGTAGAATTTGGACACTTGTACTGCTACTGTTAATTTGATTTCCTAGCAACAAAAGGAACAGAGGACTCAGTTGGTCGGACTGAGCTTCCTCTTCCCAAATTTACTTGAAAATTGTCATGGTATCAGAGAATGGCTTGCTCTAGGGTTCTTCTTCTTGTGTCAAAGTCGCTGCCATGTCTGGGCAGTCTACACTAGCAGGGCAAAGGTCGACACAGACCTCTGGAGCAAGTGGGACGCTAGTAGGAGTTCAATTTTGGGTCATTCAACCAAGAGAATATACAGAATGAGACGATTGCGTTTGGTAATCGATTCTATCTCAACCAGAATGAAACTATGTCTGTCTCTTTGGTATCTGAGTTGTTTGATGGGTCAAATTACTCTATGTGGAGTAGATATATGCAAATGGTTTTGAAAACTAAGTATAAGATGGGTTTCATTTATGGAACCATACCCATGCCACCTAGAGATTAAGATCGTTTTGCCTTATGGGATGCTAGTAACACCTTGTGCTGTGTTGGATCCAAAATTCTGTTGCTAAGGATATTAGAAGATCTATTCTCACACACAGTAACACACAAAGCATTATGGGATGAACTTAAGAGAAGGTATGGAATACCAAATGCCCTTCGAATCATGAATCTAAAAGATGAAATTGGTGATTGTAAGCAGGGATCTCAAACTATTAGTCAGTACTACACGAAGGTTAAAGGGTTGTGAGATGAGTGCGTTGATTTTAATCCAATTGTTCCTTGTGTTTGTGCACTTGGAAATCTCATACCATGTGCTGCAATGGTTGGTTTCATTAAAAAACAGGAAACAAACTAATTTAATCGGGTTCTTGAAGGGATTGAATTCAACTTATGATATTGTCAAGACACAACTGTTGATGCGAAACCCGTTGCCTACTGTATCTACTCCTGTGGATGATTTATTGCAACATGAACATAAGTTGAAGGGTGACAATGCATATGGAGGAAAAAGGTCACAGACAATGGCACTTGTTGTTGAAGGAGAAGAAGGAAGGGACTCTACTGAAGGAAGACAATGCAAGAAGTTTTGTAGGTTCTGCAAGATGAGAAACCAAAAAATTGAAGATTGATGGAAGTTGAAAAAGAAACAAGGGGAGCAGAAGGATGGGGCAAGCTCAGGTTCTAACTCCAGTTTAGGGGCACCTAGATTTGCTGGTTTAGTCAATCAATTTGGTGTTTCTGACACTCAATCAAAAGGGATTTCTTCAGCAGAAGGAAGTGGTAATCAGGTATCTCTTGGATTTACAGCTGAAGAAATGAACAAGCTGAGATATCTGTTGCAAGTTGGTGATAAACACATCACCTTCTCCACCAAATTCCCCATCCATCAATTATCAAGCTCATTCTGTTTCTCAATTTTTAAGTCCCTTTCCTAATCATTCAGGTAA